AAAAGCAAAAAGGCAAAGAGGAGGGAGTGATTATAAAATTTATGGAATTTTTAGAGGGTACTTTGGAGAATTTTGATCATCTAAAGTTAACAGTGAATTATACTGCCTTCAATTCTCTTTCAGGGAGGGCTAGATAGTTCTATATATAATTTTCTGGTTTTAAATATAAGTTTCATTTTTTAATATAAATCACACATGTCATATATTTATAATCGAAAGAGTTTATAGATTAAATTAAAATCATAGAAACATATTTTTAACCACTCAATAAACAAATGGGGTGAGATGATAGATAGGGATTAATGATTTAAACTCTAGATATAATAAAACATAAATTTTTTTAATCTTTTTATCTCATTTTCAAGCTTGACAAGCTTTAATTTAGCCCGTCACCACTTATCCATTCGTTAATTTTTTTATCTCATTTTCAAGCTTGCTAACGCGTTGAAGGTGCTTTCTGTCACTTGATAATATTAAAACATTAATGAGAGGCTTAATGACATAATAATTAAAATATATTTATTTGTCCGAATGATTACATATGATATATTGAAAAAATAATTAAAAATATTTAATAAAGACTCGCAGTGGTCTCACATATAAATTCGTCTTAACCCTATAATAAATAATAGATGAATTTTTTTACATATAAAAATAGATCAATTTAAATAGTAGGAGGAAGGAAGTTGGTGAAAATAGTCCATTCAAAAATTTTGGTCAAAAAATGACGAGGCACAAATGACAACCCAAAAACCCAAACAAAGGGGAGCCCCGACGCCCCAGGATGTGACCGTGTCTCTTGGCTCCGGGTTTCCGGGTAGGGCCCCTTCGTCTTATCCTGCCACGTGTCCCACCGACACCTATGATCCCTCCCTTTTTGTCTCATGCGGATGCTTCTTGGGCAGTCCGTCCCGTCACGTGCTTCCTGCCCTGTTTGGTTTCCGGAATTGCGAGGGGCCTGACTTGATTAGCCGCCTAATCACGCTTTCTTTCGGATTTACTTGCACTTCCATGAACATGTCACTTCATTCGCTAATACGCGTAGCCTGGAACCAGTCCACTTCATAACCTCCTCACAAGCTGCGAAGGCGCCTGGAACCGATATATCTCAAGTAAGCAACTTAACATGAGTTTTTTTGGTCAGGACATGAGTTTTTGTGAATTTACGCTACATTTTTTTTTTCCCTATCAAAATAATACTACCTCTAGTCCTAATTATAATACATCTCTAGTCGTAAATATAAGACTCTTATACACATTAGTATAAGGGTCTTATATTTAGGACCGAATAAGTAACTTGTTTATTTGTAGATTGTAAACAAGGTCTTATAATTAGAACAAAAGATAATACATAGACAATATCTTAAGTTTAAATATGTGTGAATACTGAGAGAACTAATTAGGCTTGATAATTTTTGAATTTATCCTAATCATATAACCAAACCAAAAAAAAAAATTCAATGATATATAAAATAAAACTGTTATATAAAACAACTTTTTTTTTTGGCATATGGTGATATTGGTGCGCTTTAAAGATGCACAAAAAATTGAGACAGTTGGCTATAATTTTTTTTCCCCACTTATCACATTGGTGTGGTCTAAAGGAAAAGAGCACAAAAGATTGAGACTTCTCAAGTAGTTGGCTGTAGGAGAGTGATATAGTTATTGTGTCTTGAAAAAGGTCCCCTGCGTGAGACAAGGTTTGTAAAGTCTCTTTGAACGTATCCCTATTCAGTATCACAAGTTTAATGCCCCCAGGATAAAATTATTTTCATCAGCTTTGGACAAAATTTAGTAATTACCTTCTACCTCCTATATCTTATTCTTAATATAAAATATATTTGATTAATTTGGATTAATTAAGAAAAATAGTTAAATTAGTTATTTGTAAAAAATATGTGTTAGTTTTCTTAAAATATTCCGTTCAATTATTTGGATTAAAACTACTATTTAATGTAAACTCTGTTAACATATATAATCAATAGGGTTAGATTGGATAAACATAAAAACAAAATGAATTGCGGTCTAAGATACTGTTTGCTATGAGGGAAATAGAAGTGAGGTAAGAGAAAGACAAATTTTAATGATTTTTATTTTAAAAAAATTGGAGAAGTGGGCTTTTGAAATTTTAATTAAGAGAAGAAATCATATAAAAGAGTAATAAAAATTAATTAAAAGTTTTTAACTCCACTTTTTTAATTTGTTAAATCAAGTTTATTAAAATTTTTCCTTCCCTTCCTTCCTTTCATTTTTCCTCGTATCAAACAGACCCTAATACTACTTCTGGTCCTAATTATAATTAAGACCGGAGGTAGTATTTAAAATAAAATTCAACCCCTTACCAATTCTTATATTAGAAATTAGAGGTAGTATTATATTAAGAAGAAATCCTTTAAATTTTTTTAAAACCACGTGGTTATGAGTTTAAATTCTCATAATATAATAGGTGTGTACGTGATGATAAAAAAAAAGAGTATAATTTTTTATTTGTTGACATTTTTTTAGTTTAATTCAATCTTAATTACTGCTTTCTTAATTATAGCGTCATCTTTGTCAATCAAGGAAAAACTACGTTTAATAAAGACATATTAGAAAAGACAGAAATTTTTTTGAAACAGTTTTTTTTAGGTAAAGTATCCTTTTCTTTTATTAAAAATAATGTTGTTTGAGGTACTGAAACACTGTTTGTGATCACCTATCCATAACAGTGGTTTGAAGCTTAGTTCACTGTCTTTTTGTAGGTTTTCGCTTATATTTCTTAATTCTTGTACACAGCATGGATTGGGTCAAATTTGAGTATCGAGTTGGCTGAATAACTTTGATGGCCCTAAGGAGTTTTGTTTTGGGCATGGTAATGAACTGACGAACCTCTTACCAGTCTAGCGTGTCAACGATCAAGTAACGCAGCAGAAAACTGCTACTCTCCTGCTGGATAAGGCATTTTTCTAAAAATATTACTTCTCCGGTAAGATCTAGTTATTAAATTAATTTTGATCTTAGATATAAAACCTATTTTTTATATTTATCAGTTTTTTTAAGTTATTTTCGTGAATACTCTCTCAATTATAATCAAGTAGAAGAGAGAGAATATTAAAAAAGATAATTATGATGTTTTAAGAAAAAATGTTATATTTCTTATAACTAACTAATTTACCTAACTACGGAACTATGGGGTTGTCTTCTTAGTATGAAATGGGCATGGGATTGCGGCTTCAAAGACATGATACTAAAGACAGACTCATATAATGTTTTCCAACTGCTGAAGAACACTATCCCGAAGCTGCATGAGGACTGGTCTCTCATCGAGGAGATAAAAGGGATGATCACACGAAGTTGGAAGTTTAACTGCCAGCTTATCGCTAGAGATGACAACCTCATGGCAGACGCACTAGCAAAGAGAGCCTTGAATGATAACCCGGGTTTCCTTATCGTGGGCTCCGACAGTGTTTGCAACTTCCTAGACCTTGATGGAATAGGATAGTTTTTGTTGCTTTTGATTTCCCTTGTATATTAAAAAAAAAAAATTACCTAACTTTTTTAATTTAATCAAATTAGTTAAATATATCTTATATTAAAGACCAAATGAGTATTAGATTATGAACCTATGTTTTGTATGATAACTACGACTTGTATGATTGATATTTATTACGTATGAATGATGTGATTTTATTTTTTTTAAAGTAAATACTATTCGAATGGAGATTTTCTTTGGCAGCAAATATAGAAAAATAAACTCTTCTAGGGTGCCATTATTCTAGAGCGAATAAGGCCTGTTTAGTATGAAGCATTATGAATAAGAAGTAAAAATTATGATTGAGATTAAAAAAACTCATTAAAAAATATTTAATATGAGATGTTGTGAATAAGAGTCTGTTTGGCAGCAAACATCATGTAAAAGTTAGTATTTCCCAATCTCAATTACATGAGTTCGCTGAATCTTAAGAACAAGTCAGTCCTCATACTAAATATTTTTAATAGGTTTTGTCAATCTCGATCAATTTTTACTTTTCATTCTCAACATTTCGTATCAAACGGGGTCTAAGAAAATCTTGATGGGAAGTTTACCAGGAAAATAAGATGACGGATGAACTCAATGTTTGACATGTCAAAGAGAACCAGATGGGCTTGATGCAACCTATGCGACGGACCAGTGGACTTAGCCATCATGTGAAATGCATTGTATATTAGAGTATGACTCAGCAATGGTAGAAATATCTAAAGGTTTTGATATATAGTGACATGGTCATTACTTGATATCACAAAAAAAAAAAAAAAAAGCGAAATCCCCCGTGTGCTTTAGTTTGGCAGTGCTCTGGGCCCGGAAATTTTGTGGGCCCATGGGCCTATAAATTTACTATAAGCCCAATGACAGTTTTGGGCCAATGCCCAATTTTTTTTTCCCCGGCCATCGCCATTGCCCTAAACTTGAATCGATCGTGTATCCCCAAAAAAAAAGAGAGCTTGAATCGATCCGGATGCTGAAAACCATGGTAGATAACTCTTTAGAATTTGATTTTTTTTTTTTTGCCTACCCAGTTTATCGAAGCTTTACTCCGACTATATCTGGATCCGACCCCGTCGTGCATCTGGCTGTGATGGATGAGTCTCCCAACGGGGATTTTTGCATACGCTGAGGCTCAAACTCGAGATCTCGTTTAAACGGTACCAAACCGCTTACCACTTGAACCAATTCCTATTGGTTTTTTAGAATTTGATTTTGTTTGAATTTGGAATCTCAAATTTGATATACCATTTTTTATTTATCAAAAAAAATTTATTTCTGAAATCATATTTTTAGTTTTTGGAATTTGAAACTTTTTTTTTTTTACCAAAAAGTTTGAAACTAAACTAAAAATTTGGGTTTAGTGATAAACAAATCTAGAACTAAATTTTAGGAATCAAAATTCACTTAGAAAGAGTATTAGCTTAAAAAACAAAGTAACAAACAAACAAACTGCAGATAACTCTCAATCGGGACATCTTATCTGCGCATCCAAACAAGTTTTCCGGGCGACGGTCCCGCGCATTGGCATTATTCGAAAGAGAAGACCTACACTGCGACTTCAGGCGACAACAGAATGTCTGAGCCGATCATTCTGTCCGACGGAGAAGACCACTATGACCTCTCAACACCTTTCACAAGCCATTCCAAGAAACGCCGTGCTGATTCCGATCCAAATCGGACCATTCTCATCCTCGACGATGATCCGACCCCACAGAAGCCTGGTTCGTCGTCCACACCTTCTTTCGTTCCCGAGACTCCCTTCTCCGCTCCTTCCAATTCCGATCTCAATTGTCAAATGCACAAGAGCTTCATGTGATTCCGATCCCCGCCATAGGGCTTCAACTTCCGAACCTGACATCACAGGTCAGTTTATTTGTTTTCCGTTTTGTCCTTCTTTGGTAATAATATGATGCTTGAGTAATCTATATATCTCTGTCTGTATTTTGGACATTTTGTGTAATTCCCCTTGTTTCGGTGTTAATGAAGCAAATTCAGAGTGCTCATACAAAATATATGAATGCTTTAAGTATGATGTCTGTTTGCTGAATTTGGTCTACTTGCGATTCTTGTTGATTTTTTTTTTTTTTTATCTGAGCTATTGGTGGACTATGATTCAGTGCACTTCTTTTTCCTTTTTATTGCATCTAATTCAGTGCACTTCGAAGGGACATTGAACTTCGTTTTCTTTGCTTTGCTCTTGGGAAGGGCATATAATGCTTTCCTTTCGTTGCTTTTTTCCCCAGGCTACCTCTATCTTTACGTGCAAATTATCAGCATGCTCAGAATTTGTACCCATTTTCAGTTATTGTTGTAAACTTAAATATAGGGCTGCATGCACTAGTTTGTTTCAATAATTAGGCATTTAAGTACGTTCTGGCTTCTATTTGGTCTCAGTTCTATAATGGAATATAGTACGGTGAGAATATTGTTTCTTTTCAGTTTAGTTTGATTCTTATAATTTCCGTTGTTTTATAAATATGAATATGAATTCATTTTGACTTTGAGTTTACTCCCCTTCAAGAAATCTTGTTGATGGTACGTTTGTGTCTGTTTATTATCCAGGAATTAGCAAGTTGATATGTTTGGAATCTGACAATGAGTTGGAAAATTCTGGAACGGACAAAGGGAATGAGATCAAAACCAGGGATTCGTCTTTGGATTTATCAGGAGATTCAAGATGGACTTCAGAGTTTTTTGGTCCCAGAAGTTCTCCTGGTATATGCTTTTGGACTACTTGAACCTTCTCCTCATCATATGAAATGGTTTGTTTATTTTGTTTATGTAATCAAAAAAATTGCAGAGATACATGCATCATCTACCAGTGCTACTTTAACCAAAACGTCTGGGGACAACCCTCTTAACCCAACCTCTTCACCAAGGGATAGTAATCTGGTAATTACTTTTTGTCTCCATCAACGGTTTTCTTAGGGAATGAATATATATATCATATAATCTTATTCTTTATGCATATTCTGTTTCTGTTATTAACATGAAATGGGGGCTTGCCTAAGGTTTTGAGTTTCATGTGTTCAATCTTATGCATAGGGGATTATCTCATGATGTGTTATCAGGTAAATGACCATCCTGGTAAGGAAAACATTAGCGTGGACATGGAGCAGGAAGAGAACATTAAAAAAGTGAAAAGATGCAAAATTTCTGAAAAGAACGCAAGCAAGCCAGTGGGGCAAACAAAGATAACAAGAGAAGAAAGAGCTCGTCTAATGGAGGAGAAGAAACTAAAGAAAGAGGTACGTTTGAGCCTATAGTATTAGTCATTGTTCATATCATTCAAGTGCATAACAGGAATCATTGTACAGCAAGAGAAGTTGAGAAAAGCAGCTCTAAAGGCTGAAGCAGCAGAGTTGAAAAAAAATGAGAAAGAAAAGCAAAAATGGGAAAAGGGGAAGTTTGCACTCAAGTCTATTGTGGCTGAAATTGACGCTAAAGTAGTTGAGTCAGGTTCAATTGGAGGTATGCCCTTCATCCTTTTTACAAATCATGGAGAATTCAGAAAAGGAGTCGAGTCTGTGTCTAGTATATGGTGAACGCCCTAATAAAAGTAACACAGCACCTCCAAATAGCACTAGACACCTGTGTCAAGAGTTACCACATTAGAATACATTAAAAGTGACAAATTGACTAACTGGGGAATGAATTAAAGACATTCAAACTTAAAGGCAAGTCCTGTGGAATGGCTTAAGCTATTTGATAAAAAGACAAGCCTAACGTATACCTCCAAAGTCTAATAGACCCTACTCTGACTTTATTGAAAACTAAGTGCTAGTTTTTCACGTTGTTTCTTTCATATGGTTGTTCTCTTAGAAGACACCCCTATTCTCTTCAGGGCATTTACTTACTAGGTTTGCTGAGAAAGGGCTTACATACCATATAACTTCAAATCCAATTGAGAGGTCAATTTTGTGGTCTATGAAAGTTCCCGAGCATATTTCACAGGTGAGAATTGCTTGTGGTTCGTTTGTGTGCAGCGGGCACTTATGCACTATCTGACTTGACCATTTCTGCAAGTATTTTACATTTATGGCTATTTTCATTTATTAATTGCAGCTTTTCACTGAAAGTGTGAAGATTCCTTATGTCTTACTTATTCATGAGTCAGACAAATTTTGCGACCTAATCACCAATGAATCTCTTTTGGATCATCTTTCTAGCGTTCAAAGTCTTTATCCGACTTATACAGTTTGTTACCTTACCAACAGGCTAATGGCTTACATTAATAAAAGGTATGTAAGATCTGAAGACTTCCCTAGCAATTTAGTATTAGTCGCATGAGTATATGCTCAAATTTGATCAGGCGTTTGTGGCTTTGTCAATTGGGTTATCTTGTGTTAATTTTTTCTAGCTATCCTACTGATTTATGGGTAGTATTGGTTATCTATCTTTTTGTTTTTTTCATTGTTATTTTTTTCAGCCAAGACAGTGATTTTATGATATATTAGGGAACAGGAAAAGTACAAGAACCGAGAACATAATAGTTGTTGGAAGCGTCCACCTGTTGAGGAGGTTAAATAACTTACATATTTAACATTATCAGGAATGTGTCTCTTTATAATCTTTTAGTCTGTGTTGAAAAACGGCTTTATTTTATATTGTGAATTGTATTGTAGGTGCTGGCAAAGTTAACAACTCATTTCACTAAAGTACATTCTAGACAGTGTGTAGATGAAGCTGAACTGGCTGAACATGTCGTTGGATTGACATGCAGCCTGGCATCTTGCCAGTTTAGGTACTTGAAGCTTTTGCTTTTGGTATTTATTTTGAACTTTGTCAATGCTTCCAAGAAAATGCACATTTTTTATGGAAAACTAGAAGATAGCATGCATGAGAACATCTCTATTTAATTCGAAATTAATCCTCAGGATTCCCCCTCTCCCGGGAAAAAAAGGAAAAAATAAAGCATGTACATTTGATTAATCTCTTTAATGATTATTGAAGCTGTCATTATTTGTGTTTCTTGTGACCTCTTTTAACACTATTATCTCTGATGACTAATCTAGTAAAGTGAATAATGCTCTGGGGTTGAGTCAATTGAGTGGCTAATGAGCGATTACTTACCACTTATAAATTACTGAACAACGCAAAGTTTTGTTTTTAAATGATTATAAGAATGACAACCGTAGGAATTATATACGACTTATAGAGCATATTTAATTAAAGAGTAAATTACATAGATATCTCAAGTTTTGCTGGAGTTGTATGGACCTTTCCTTTATATTTAAGGTACACAAATGTGTTTTGAAACGGAAAGTTATAGTTCACTTATACTATATAACGACAACAATTCTTATCCCATTAAGTGGGTTTAGCTATATAGACACACTATGTCAATGTGTATTATCAACAGCATTCACCAAAAGGTCCCGTTTGATATCGAGTGTTCTTAGTCTCCCTCTGCTTCTCTTCATAGGATTAAAGACCATATGTTCAACCCTCCTCATTGGCACATTCTTTGGCCTTCTTTGTACATGTCAAAGCACCTTAAATGAGTTACCAGCAACTTTTCCTTGATAGAGCCATGCCAACTCTAAACTCTTCCTAATATAAGGTCATCATAAATCTTATCTTTTCCTATACAACCGTACATCCATTTCAACACCTGCTATCCCAATTTTTTTTCCCTATCAACTCTTTAATGCTTAGCATTCACTACCACATAGTAATGCCAGTCTTATAACAGTATGATAAAACTACCTTTTAAATTTGTTAGGTACATTTCATTTATGCTGTAAAACAGTTTACTCTTATCTACTTTTTCATATAACTGTTGTAGACGGGTGGAGAGGATTTAGCTGCTTTCTGGTGTGACTGTAGGTAAAGATTTTCTAAGACTTGTACCAAGCTTTGTTGTCAAATCGAATGAAACATTTTGATATGTAAATTGTAATTATTAGAAGATATGGTAGTTATATTTTTTAGTAGTAGTTAGGTGGGACAATAATAGCCGTTAGTAACTGTGTGGGATGTCAGAACCTATATAATGTGGTTAACTGTAATCAGCTAGTATGCTTAAGGAATAATTCAGAGTAATATTCACATCTCCCCCCACCTCTTCTTTCCCCTTTTATTCACCACTATCCTTCAATTTCATGCATAGTTTTAACGCCATGAATATGTTTTAGATCAGCTGTTCCTTTTATTGTTTATTTTATTTGAGTCTTCAGCTGTTCATGCATTTAAACTGCAGAAAGAAGTTGACTCGATTGTCTGTAAATGCAAATGGGTCTCTTATCCCAAAGGACACTCTTGACCGCAATTTAATCAAGAAAAATGTGTGGTGAGTATGAAATAATCCCTAGTTTTTTTTTTCCGTTCTCTTTTGTCTTTTTAATTTTCCTATTGAACATTTGAAAATTGATCATGATCTTACTTAGATACCAATTCTTCTTAGTTGCCAACTAGTCTTAGCCAATGTAGCTTGTTCACTGAAATGTAACTGGGAAGCTATTATTTGTATTGATTACATCCTCGTGTTTTGCCATCAGACCGACTGATGTGCCACCGAGACAAAGAATCCCTACTTTGATGCTACTTGCATGTGTTGAGGGGGAAATTGCCAGTTTTTCTTCATTTTTCTTGTTTTTACATTTATCAGGGAGATGTGCCTTCTTTTATCTAATGACAAATTCATGTTATTTTTGTTACATAAAATCAATTATCTGTTGAATTTGTTGCATGATGACATCAGTTAATTTTAACATAAGTAAGTCATACTTTGCTGGCGTGGAGGTCAGGTAGGAATTTACAAAACCAACAATATTATAATTTGTGTTTATAATCACAAACAATTTGCTGTGTTAAAATTTAGACAATTACCTGGGCACTAATCTTATTTCATTCTGCTATATGTCATATCTGTCTTCATCATACTGGCTTCTCTATGACCAGGCTAAAAGCTTTGGTTGCCATCCCTAAGGTTCAGCCACGATTTGCTATTGCCATTTCGAAGAAATACCCGACCATGAAGTCTCTGTTGAGTGTTTATATGGATCCAAATAAATCCGTATGTGTTGCTGCCTCTGTTCGCTTTGATGATTTGATCTTCCTGATTTATATTGACCTTTGTTTCATGATAGAACTTGCATATTAAATAAACTGTTTTTTTTTTAATACATATATATATGTAATGGCATGGGCAGGAGCATGAAAAGGAATTTCTGCTTAAAGACCTGAAAACAGAAGGCTTAATTGGTGGTGACAGAAGGCTAGGTGAAATTTGTTCAAAGAGAGTATACAGGATTCTAATGGCACAAAGGGGAAGCATTAGAACAGACGATGTCGAGGATGGCGCTGACTTCTTCGGACGTCAATCATCCTGACGGCTTCTCATTGTTGTACGTAAATCGCTTTTTGACAAACTGTTTTTGAATTTTGGACCGTTGGAATGTATTATATCATTTCCAAGTTGCATCATATCTACCTACCAAAATATTGTAGCAGAATATTTGGAAGAAAAAGGGAGAGAAAATCAGGCATCTTAGGGGCGATGAATTTCCAAATTAATTGCAGCATAATTTCCAACTCGTCTGATTATATTTATAAGGCGAGAAGAGAGTATATTTTTTAGTTCTATTTACGAGTTATATTATTATATTTTTCATATAAATATACAATTACATTCTTTATTTATTATTCACAGGAACATGTTATAAAATTTTAAGAAAAATTTAATGAGATTTAAGGTTTTTCTTGATTTCAGTAAAATATATTAGAATTGCTTTATAAATAAAATCAAGGAAATAATAATTTTGAGCGGTTCAAATCATTTACATTCAAAAAGTGTGAATGTATATTTTGGGTTAATGAAAAATAATAAGTAATAAATAAAATATAAATTTTACACATAATAATCATACTCTTGCTATATTTTATTTGAATATATGAATACACACAAAAGAAATACTCCTCCGATTCTTATTATAAGATCCCATTTGACTTTTTATTTGGTCCTAATTATAAGACCCCAATTCATTTTGTCTCTTATATTTATGCATTTTTTCCAAGATAATCCTTCTAATAATGATAGTTTTAGCCAATATACTTAATTAGCAAGGATATTTTAGGAATGACAACACTTATTATTATAAATAACCAACTTAACTTACTTCCTTAATCTCCTCAAATAAGTCAATTGGGTCTTATAATTAGGACCGGAGAGTATTTTTCTTATTGGCTGATCAAATTTGAGGAGGTATTAACCCCAAAGAAAGGGGGGGGGAAGGAGCTTACCGACGATGAAACTACCATATTTTGAGGATTCACAGTATAATTCGGCTTTTGCATAGCAGATACGAGCCACTCATGAAACTGCCATGTAACTTTCTAACAGTAGCTGTGGAATCCGACAGACGAAGCGTGGTCTGCATTTGGCTGCTTAAATGATTTGGAAGAAACATTCACACTGCAAGCCTCTCAACTTTCAACTCACATTCTGTTCATCTTTTCCAGGGGAAAGAGAATTTTGCAGAGGAAACGCACGGCATGTTTCTTCAGCATCCGGTTTTAGTTTGAAACCTGAGGACGACTAATTTGATCAATAAATAAAAGCATCAGACATATATCAGGTACTATTTTGACTTGGCTGCATGCCTGAATTACCGCCATTTGATTTTGACCTAAAATTACCGACCTTGCCCCATAAGGAGCCTTCAGACAAGTTCACAAGAGGCTTCTAAATTCTAATTCTTATAATTGGTCAGACCATCAAATAAAAGCAGTGATGCTTGTCCTTGATTCATCATCCTAGTCAGAATGAACCATGTAGTGAAACAGATTGGTGATGGAATGTGCAGGCGAAGCAGATCCTTAGTTGAGAGTCCATGAAGTCAGATAAAGTTTACCTGATTTTGTCAAGTTTATTTAAATTTCTCGTTTTCCCTTTAATTTGTTTTTCCTTTCTTGACTTAATACATACCCCATTTTACATACTTTCGATTCCAGAGAATTCAAATCCATATGCTGGAATTGTGCTGCATAGTAAACCAATCACTTTGAACTTTATCATGTACCTCAAAAAGTTAACGAAAGATAATAAATAAATAAAAATTAGAAGTTTTTTTTTTTTTCCAAAATATACTTATTTATGGGGAGGAGAGTATAAGAAAGATAATAAAAAATTATTATAATAAAAAAATTATGAAAAAAAGAGAACGTGGATGGAAAGAAACGATAGTTTAAAAAATAAAATATTAAATATTAAAATAGGTAATTAATAGGATAAAATAGAAATTTTGTTATAAAAATTTAAAATAACTTATAAATGTCCTTTGTATTTAGAGATGAGAAAGACATGGTAGTTGTTATTTATAAAGTAAGCGAGAAAGTAAGTTATAAAAATACCACCAAAAAGATCACTCAATTACGTCATAAAACGCCCGTGAGGAGACATATTCTACAAGACGTATTCACAAAATTCGAAGAAATCCTCTACCTTTCGAAGTTGACTTGAATAACTGAACATATCGGAGGTCTTAGTGGATATAAAAAACATTAACTAAATGACATGATTAATCCCTGAGAAACGCAGATCCATAGAGTTCCTGAAATACCGATCATTATACAGTGAAATCAAATGTAGCACTGTCACTTTATTTTTCCAGTTATCAAAAGCCAGTTGCACAGACAGACTGTAGATATCACATGCCCAATCATGATTTCCTTTTGAGTCAAAAGGATTTCAAAATTGCAATCATAACCAAACAAGTCCAACAAAAACAGCTCCTCTGCAATCCAAAACCCATATCTGATTATATCAATCAGATTACCAACAGTATGAAACCCGAGAACTGAGAAAATCAGAGGACAGGATTTGAATTTTGAAGCAAGCAACAGAAAGGGCGAGGGAATGCGATTAACTGAAGCAAGTATAATGCGAGATTGGTTCTCGTAAATTAAATCAAGCGGTTTCAACAAAGTTACTGATCAATGATAATCTACTGGCGAAAACCAAATCAAATTTACCAGAAGAAGCGACGAGGCGAAACGCGATGCATAAACTTGAAGTTGGCTGGTCGGATCTTCTAGAAGCAGAGGATTGATTGAAAAAAGAAGGCTGAGACGGCGTGAGAAAGAGAAGAAGAGGTCGCCGAGTGGGAAAATTGAACGTTGAAACTCGAAAGTTCGAACGTGTGAGGGAAAAGATGGCGGCAGGCAAATAACTAATCGCATGATGATTTGTGTGGGATCCACAGGAAGCGCGTGATTGTCGCTAATTCGGTATCAAGTTAGGGCGTTAGGCTCGTCCCCCATTCCGCATAAGTTACAAAAGCATGTAAAAGTAGGCTCTGGCCCGAAGTCAGATCCTTCGATTTTTTTTAATCATAGAAGTTTGCTTACATACAAGATTGCGAAATACTCTCATTTTTAATATTATATGATTATTTAATTAGGTTAGATTTAAATATTGTCAAGTTTAATTAGAATAATTGTCACAAAAATCTTTTTTACGTTCATAAGAACTCGAACTTAAAAAGATTAATATAATTTTTAGTCATTTAACTTTGTCCTCATTTTAATTTTAGTCTCTCAAATTTCAAATCATAAGTTTTAGTTCATTAATAAGCAAAATAGCCTAAGTTTTTAGTAGATTATAGAGAATAGTATTATAAATAAATAAAAAAATTTAAGAGACTAAAACTTATAATTTAAAACTTAAGAGATCAAAATAAAAATAAAAATAAATAAAAAGAACCGAAATTTGTATTAACCCAGTTCAAAACCATGTGCTTAAGCGATCGAAGTTCCTTGCACTAACTTTCCTTTATTTTTCCCCTATGAAGTATCCCACAATGTTTTCTCTTTTTACATTGTTTTTTAAATTTTATAAAGCTTTAGAAATTTTGCATCATTAATGCATTTCATTAGGGGTCGATTTTGAAAAGATGAAAAAAAAATTAAAATATAAATTTGTCTCAAAAATTTTCATTAAAACACAGGTGTATTTTGATATGGAATAAATTATGACTTTCTTTTATTTTGACCATGAGATGAGAAAACTAAAGAAACCTACATCTTTGTACGCGGTAGGTGGGGGGACTTTCATGTCTCGAATATTCAATAATGCCTTTACTCATGCTGCTTGTCTGAAGCAGAAATATAACACGTGGAAACTCATTAAAGATCTTGACTCTAATTAAGAATTTCAAATTGGTTTCTATATATGGTTATTCTGTAAAATAAGGCGGACAATTTTTTTTTCCAGATTGTTGCAAATCTCTGTGACTATAATTTCAAAAATATTTCGTGAATCCCGGGCTACAATACTACCTCTGATCCTTAATATAAGAATTCGTTTGATTTTTATTTTAATCCTAATTATAAGACCCCAATGCACTTTGTCTCTCATATTCATACTTTTTTTCTCAAGGTAGTCCCTCTAATAATGATAGTTCTAGTCAATAAACATGATTAGTAAAGATATTTTAGAAAAGACAACATCTATTTATTATAAATAACTAACTTAACTTATTTCTTTAATCTCTTCAAATTAGTTAATCAACTCTTATAATTAGGACCGGAGGTAGTACAAAATTAATGCCATCTAAAGCAAAGATACTAAAATTTTCCTAGATCTCGAGTTCATTTCCTAGGAAAGACATCTCTGTTGAGAGGTGAAATTACAATCACCGTATTGAATTAGTTAATTGTTCATATACTCCTCCGGTCTTTAATATAAGATCTATTTAACTAATTTGATTAGATTAAGAGAGTTAGGTAAATTAGCTAATTATAAGAAAACACTAGATAGTGGATGATAATATTAAAAAAAAAAAAAAAAGGAGCCCCAATAGCTTGGATGATCATAATTCATAATCATCTTTGTTGATATTGTTAATTGTTAATTAATTAACATTATCCCCACAACAATCGGTGTAAAAATCCAGTAATAAAAATGCTTCTTTTTTTTTGGGTACTAGTAAAAGCTTGAAGATTAATGATCTAGCCCAGCAATTAATTAATGATCTGCACCCATAACATGGCATGTTTAAAGCCATTGTAATTTAAAAAAGAGAAAAGAAACACACACACACACACACACAAAAGATCCAAAGCTAAGCATTCACATGTACCGTTTGCTTCAAGACGAGAAATATATATACTTTTCTTTCGCTATATCCCTACAATTAGGTTACTTCCATGTGCCTTAAAGCAAGCATACGTATATTTGAGGGAAAGGTTAATTAATGATATGCATACCAATTTGAAGTTTCAATCAAAAGCACAAAGCAAAACCTTTTCTGGCCAGCCAATCATAAGTACAATACCTTATATTATGAAGTTTAACCTTGTGCTTGGATGGGGTGAAAATTATGGGAAAAAATATTAAGAGAAAAATTTTCAAAAATAGTATTTCTCCATTTCTTAATATAAGATCTAATTATTGAGTTAATTTTAGTCCTAAATATAAGACTTATTTCTCATATTTATCAATTTTTTCTAAATTATCCTTATAGATATTCCCTCAACTATAATCAAGTAAAAGAAGG